ATTGATTAATTCTCTGAAGAGGGAAATTTTCAATTTGAGAATGTCCATGGCAAAGTTTTTGTTGACTTCAGTGATTGATGAACTCCTTTTGCTCTCCTAGGTTCGAAATTGCTTGAATCATTCATCTGCTGCCTTGGCTGAAGAATAGATAATGTGCAAAAGATCATCAGTCGACGGAGAATCGAGTCAGAGAATGGGATTAAAATCTCCGCGTGTTTTTGTGGAAAATGACTCCCCGGAGTAAAAATACGGAGTTGGTTTTGGAGAAATACACCATGTGATTTTCTGTTGACGGAAACGATTTTCCCTTGACCATATATTTTTTTATGTGCAAAAAATATTTTCATAAATTTATTTTCCGAGAACCAAATGAACGCAGTCAAGATGAATATGCAAAGAAATGCATTAGTTTCCCAATTCTACCGCGTATTCTTTGCTTTAGTCCTTTTTTTTAAAAAATTATTTTTACTAAATCTTTGGTATCCAAAAGCCACACTAAACCACAATTAATTTGAAGTTGAATTGTGTCGAATTTCATAAATAAGAAAGCTACCAAAACTCCTATCTCTTCATTTATAATGCTTGAATTCAAGATATTATTTAAGAGAAACTAAACTCCTTCTATTCAAACTAACAAATCGATAGGTTTTGCTTTAGTCTATTCTATGATTGGTTAATGCAACCAAGTAGTTGTATCGAATATTGCTGGAAAAACTTTGCAATTGAGTTTCAAGGAAGCTTTTAGGGTGCATTTGGAATTACAATAAGGTGTTGTAGCTGTAATCGTAACTCTAACTATATTGAACTGCATTATGTTGTAGTTATGAATGAATATATGTTATTTTAGAGTTCAATTATTTATTTCTCAATAGTACTATGAATAATACCAACGACTTGTTGATCCAATTAGAAGGAATTTGGTTTTTCTTAAGTAAAATCTTGAATTCAAGTTTTGTAAATGGAAAAATAAACGCTAAGAGAGCTTTCCCCCTAATGGGATCCAATTTGGCTCGATTCCAAATTAGTCGAGATTCAATGTGGTTACCGAATACTGGGAGGTTAGTATCAAAAAAAAAAAACTATGAATAATATATGATTAATTGTAATAATTATTAATTAAAAATATAATATGAT